TCTATGTGTTTCTGGAATGTCAGGAATTCTTGGTCTTCCTGGGATTTTCGGAGTGCTAGGAATATCTGGTATGACCGGTTTTTCAGGGTATTCAGGATGCGATGGTGTTCTATGTGTTTCCGGTATTTCTGATTCTTTTGGAATGACAGGTTTTTTTGGCGATGTTGGAATGCTAGGATGTTGTGGTCCTCGTGGAACAGCTGGAATTTCTGGTTTTTCAGGATGTATAGGCCGAAATGGCCTTTCTGCTGTGCCCGGAATGACGGGGTGTTTCGATGTTTCAGGAATTCCTGGAGTCTTAGATGCTGCAGTTCCAAAAAGAAAATTATAAAATTATTTAAATAATATTAATAATTATATCTAGATCGTGTTAGTTTTCAATTTTCTTACTTCCATGGTCTGGGAGTGGTATGATATTGGGATTACTATTCGTCTCTTCGAATTGTGCACATATGGGTGGAAAATGTAAATTATTCCAATCAGTTAGAATGCCCTGATGATGATTATGATGATGATGATCATCGTTATCATTTTTGTCCGATTGGCTATCCTCATGATGTTCGTGTTCATGAAAAAATAATTCGACATGTTGCCCAGGCTTGACTACTCTGTATCCCCATCCATCACTTATGTAAAATGTTGTTTTTAATTTTCCTAAAGGATCCACATAGCCATAACATCCATATGTAACGTCGTCCGGTCCGTGTTCTTCGTAATGAAATTGTCCATTAGGACTCACCTTATAACCGTAGTTATATACATCTGGTCAAAAATGTTTTTAACTTTAATTTGATCAATTAAAAGACATAATAATTAATTTATAATTGTGATGATTAATTTCATTATGTTTCTTTATTTTTTGCTATTTTTACTTACTCGAATAAAAATTTTGTTTCAAATATTGAGCCTTGTGTTCATCGTTGATGTCGAAAATCAATTCTGTGCCTTTCTTTTTATCTTCTAACTGTACGAACTGCGACACTACAGTGGTAGTAACCTTAAGAAAGTACAATTTTATTTAATCTTTAACCTATTCACTGCCAGAAAAATTAGAAGAGTCTTGTCCTAAGTGCTAAAATTTTTATTTTTTAAATAAACATTTAATTTCTTATGTAATAATATTCTAATAATATTAAGTTACAAATATACTACCTGTATAGTATGTGTTTTTTAAACAAAATATTGTTATATACAATTCTCGTTCATTCTTTCTAATAATTCCAAACTTAAACTGAAATAAACTTATTCCGTGACCAATTGTAATAAGTTCTTATTTGTAGCGCAAACTACAAGATATCTCGTAATCGTCAATCTTTATATATACGCTTAATACAAGATCACTATCCATTCACTGGTTTGCAGTGAATTGGTTAAATGTTCAATTAATCCGTTCAAATCTAGCGAATTAGAGTTTTTATTAACCCTTTTTCTCCGGAATGCTTGTGACAAAATGTGATCGCTGTGAGCGGAGCGTGTTACTGAGTAGTTGACACTGAGGTACGAAATGTTAGGAATCGTATTAGAAGTTGTTTTTTGTTCTCTTAATTTAACAATGATATTTGTTATATTTATTAATATCATTTTACTTTTTAAAATATACAAATTTATAAAAAATTATAGTTTATTTTTAACCTTTTAATCACTATTATATATTATATATAAATTGCTGGTATATATGTTCTAAAGAAGACTTAAACAGTGTATCGTTAAAATAAAAAATATAATATCATCTTGTTAATAATAGTGTTTTATTTTATGATAGTCAATTGTTTGAGGCATTCAGGTTGCATGATACTCGATTAATAAAAGTATCTTATGTAAAGTATGAAATAAATGTATATGTACGCTCTTCGTACCCTAGTGTCAACTTTTCTGAAGCGTATAGATACGCTTTTCGTATGTGAATGGTCATTCTTCTATATAATTATTCACGTTAGCTTTCGATAATCAACGTATTATTCAAAATGATTATCAAATTGATAAGAACTTTTCATTTGGTGCTATCACTAAACACATAACTTTATATTTCTCTTTGAGAACGATAAAACTCTTATCGTGACGTTCGATCTCCTGACGTATATGACGGAACACCAAGGTGAAGGGAAAGTCAGTTTGTTAAAAAAGCCTATGTATTTCAATACCGCTCGACTTGTATACATATACGCGAGCATCCTTCATTTTTCAGACTCATTCATTTGGTTTAATGTCAGTTCCTTTTACGTTACGACATTTAGCGAGCAGTGAGAGTAACGTTGATACTTCACGTAACACTTTCCACAAGATTTCGATCTTTCTTTCCGATGCAAATTTTACCGCGAACAAAACCCGCGTTTTGTTGACGATATATAAGATGAATTAATTTACGTTTAAAGACAATTTCACGAAATAAGTACTTTTTTCCTATTTTTTTTTGTATTTACTAGAAAATTTTGTTTTTTTACGAGAGTAAATTTAATATCCATTTGTTGGTCATCAATGTATAACGTGATATCATAGGTCATTGAAATTGACACATGTTCGCCTCGTCGAATAATATCGTTTAAATAATATCTTTCACGACTGATGATCTCAGTGATTCTGTTGTTCCACCTACGAAAAGGGAAAGTAAAATCCCCTTAAGGATACGGACACGTTCCCAGGGCCAGAAACGTTGAGCCAGACATTGAAAATGTGGGTAGACTATGTTAGATTGGAATGAGAAAATATTTAAAATTTCTTTATATTAGATAAAAATGGGTTATTGTTTTTATTTGAATACGATCCTTTCTTTCTTTTATCGCAAAAATCGTATACCATTAATGAGGAAGCGTCATCTTATATCATCGAGAAGTCAATGATCGCTATATTATACGTTTATCCAATAAGGAGAAATAGACGGACCCAATATCACGTGCTACTCCGCGTGACTACTTAGACGTAGTTATTAATTACGTTAATATTATGTTACGTAAAATATATATGTATTTATAAGAGCATTGAACAAGTATTTTTAGATAAATTAATCAATCTTTAAATTGTTACATTATCTTCGATTTTAGTTTGTTAGTAAATGTATGCGTTTATTTACACGAAATTATTTATATTAGTTTATATAGTTTTTTTGAAGTTTATTTATTATTAGTTTATATAGTTTCTTTAGAATGGGAGTGATCTGAAAAATAAATAAACGCGGTCGGTCAGGAAACGCAGCTATGAAACGGCTGCTATACTAAATAATGAGAGAAAAAGAGACAAACACATAGAATTGAACCTGCGAAAGAATGAGACGAAATATAGCTATACAGTTTTTCCTATTTTCGGTCTCCTCTTTATGCTATGCTTCGTAGTTATCGCTCCTGGTTGTATATGTGTGTGTTTGTGTGAAACTGCATACTACAAAGTGTGGACAGATATAATTTCGATACTAAACCTGTTTGTAGGTAGGAGCGATAGAAGGGTAGAAGAATAAACAGAGATAAGCACGTAGATATGCGACAAAAATATAAGGTCCAAACGAACCGACGGTCGAAATAAAGAAAGAAGGTGCGTGGTCTGTTTTTTTTTTACCAAACGTGTCATTTCTTTTCTATTTAAAAATGTTTCTATTGTATTGAAAAATTAATATTAAATTATTATTGTCTGCAATATTTTACAAAAAAATGAAATGATTATCAGATACATCACAGAAAAAGAATTAGAGAACACTGTAGAATACATTAGGAGCAGCTGACAAATTCCATTCAAAAGCAAGTAAATTACTGTCACATTTTAAGTCGCATATAAGAAAATTATATTATTAATTGTAATATTTGCGTATTTAAGAAACTTATACTAATGTTTCAATAAAATAAAAACATTTTTAAGATGTTGAACGCCCAGCGTGAATYRGTGGAKCTTACCACGGAGCTGAAATTTGAGACTCGTAGTGTACACAGTTCGATAAGCTGAGAGAGCGATACGAWTCAATGCATTTTTTAGATTTTTCGTTGTTCAGATCTTTATTTAGACGAGAGTATTTAGAAAGATAAGTTTGTGGTTAAAGAATAAAGACAAGACACGTTATAAGTGATAAAGGGTCTCGAAGTGTGGTAGGCTATAGAGTTGAGAAAACATTTCTATTGAATATCTCTATTAGATCTCTCATTACATCTGTACCAGATCCTTTGTTCAGTCCAGCAGTATTTTCCATATGTTTTTCATAATATCTTTATTTCGTCATTCCTAAAATGTTTGTTAGACAGCGGAAAAATATAGATGAAAACGAGAAATTGAAAACCATCCTAACAAATAAAATTTTATACCTGAGTTTCACAAAAAGGATATTCTATATTTACTTAGTTTACGACGCATTATATTTTCCTCGATAAAGTGTACTTTTTATCAGCTATTCCACCAAGAGACCATACCAGTGATCTTTATAATATATGGTAATAATTAATAAAATATTATATAAATTATATAATATTTTATATATAATTATAAAATATTAAATAAATCCTACAATTATCTTATTCTTGAAACTGTGCATTCGTCTCATTCTCTCGAAACTTAGATTTTTGAAGGTTTCACTTCTAACACGTGTGATCTACACACATGTTTTTTTTTACGGAAGTTGACCTTTCGATGACCTCAAAAACCGGATCTACCTTTTTCTTTCTCTTTCTCTTTCTCTTTATTTAATACTATCTTAATTATTCACAAACAAATCTACCGGTCAAATCACCAAAGTCGTATCGATTCGAGCATCGGAAAAGACGAATCGACGCATCATCTTTTAGTGAAAGTTTTGACCGAGTTGTGTAACGGAATAAACCGTTGATATTGCCGTCGGCTCTTGTAGAGGCCAAGAGCGTTTCTTCCATGATCGTTTGTCTCTTTCGGACAACCACTTTTGGGTTCTGATTTCTTCAAAGAAACCTATCTTTACTCGTTTCTTTTGAAAACTTGAACTAATTCTTTGGAACTTCAATATACTTCTACTTGATCCTAATAAATTTATTATCATACAATCTAAGAGAGAATAAAAAGAGAATAAAATAAACAAGAAAAAGAAAAAGAAAAAGAATCTCTGATGATCGGTGAACTTCGACTATCCTACGTATCTTTTTGTTTGTTCTTTATTTTTATTTTTTTATGAGATAGACATGTTAGCGTTATAGATTTATTGTATTATTCACTTTTCATACTTTTTATCATTCTGTATTAATAAAGTTCTCTTTTTAAAGAGAGAAATGATATTAAACGCGATATCAAAATTTAATTTAACTTTACTTTTGTGAAATGAATTTTTTCGACCTGTTGTTAAATTGATATATTCAATTAAACTTTATACACATCTAATTATACTTTTGACCCAAAATGACTTATGTAGCTTACATTGTTTTTAATTTTTCATGTACAATTAGAATTTATTAGCAATTATTTCATAAAAAGCATCAATAGTACTACATGAAAGCATTAACTAAAAACCATACTTTTCCCAAATTTAATTTTTACCATTAAACATTTGTTTGACAAGCAGTAACTCAAATTATCATAAATGATAATGAGTGACTTTTGGTTAAACACAAACGATATATAGAATAAATTTACATCGAACAAGTTATGGAAAGTAATTCTAACTACGTAATCAATCACCAACTAGGAATCGATAGAACCTTGGAAAAGTTTATTGTCGGTTTGTTGCAACAGCGAAAATAAAAGGTTTATTGCAAGAAAGAAAGCTGGTTTTACAGAATGCAGAAGAATTCATTGTCAGACCCTATGAGCGATAATAATAAGAAGAATCATGTTTGTGGTTTCGCGGTTTTTCATTATTAAATAGCGAGAATAATTAACTGAATGTCGGTCTTACATTTGATTCAAATAAAAAAGAATTTTACGTTTGCTAGTTGATGTAATGCAAAAAATAGTTATTCGCACTTTATGTGGTACGCGTTAAATAAATTAATTTCAACCTCACGCGGTCCTTTAATTTATTGCTCATTTATAACTTTACAACCCACTATTCGATTCCATTTAATGTAAGATTATTTCGAAAGTATTATACCTATTTGTAAGCTATAATAATCGATCAATTTAAAATCCCTTATATTTTACGAGATTCTACCTAGTGTAATTTAGGGATCTAGTTATTAAGAATTATACCAATTTATTGCGTGGAAACTGTTACAAATTGCCACTTATGTTAGTTATTTTATTAGTTTTTATCAAAGTTACTCGTAATGAACGGTGGTAGCTATGGGGAGAGATGCTTTCGTGCAGAACTAATTAACTGTTTGTAAGCTTCGTATTTAACCGGCCGTATCGTGCCGTTAAACGTTGCATTTCTCTCTCTCTCACTCTCTTTCTTTCTTTCTTTTATTTTTCTTTCTTTCTTTTTCTTGAATATGTAAACAGTACAAACGGGATTGCGTCGAGTGATAGCCTCTTGGAAGATTTGAGGATAAAAAGATCTGACGATTTGACCGGTAGTCGTAGATCATTCTTGATTTTTCAATGGAAGACGTTTCGTTTATATAGACATCATTGTAACGCGTTGTAAATACTTATGTTAGTTACTATTGTAAATAGAACTCTGATAATTAGATACTATCAAATTGAAAAGAATTTTTAAATTTATATTTAAATTTTATTCTATTCACATAGATGATATTCATTTTTTGTATCTCGTATCTTTTATCATTGACGTTTTTATTTTTTACGTGAAAAGCAAAAACTAAATGAAAAAAAAATACAAACAAAAAGAGAAAAGATAACAGATGAATGATTAAAACTAAAATTTATCTGTCTACCGTATCGGCTTATTTCGCGATATAGGGAAAATCCAATATTTCTTCTGCTAGTGGATTTGTATAACTTTTAATAGTCCGTTTAGATAAGCGATTGAAACGTTCGAAAATATGAAAACGGAAGGTCTATTTCTATTTTTATTGTCAATTATTTTCTTGACAAAATGGTTGATTAAAAATTTTTCTCCTTTAGTTCGAGACTTTAGAAAAGAAAAAAAAGAAAAGAGTTCTTATACAATAATGAACATTTGCTACATCTCGGTATGAAAATATTTATTCCAAGAGATAATATTATCTTTCAAAACGGAAAAAAGTAGAGAACTAATTGTAAGAATAAAAGAAAATTATGAGTTTGAGGAATTATCGCGATTAAGCTAGAAGATGTTAGATGACTGATAGTAGAAGTTCAAGGCTTAAGAAGTACAAATATAGAACTGTTTTCTTCTATATAGTATGTATACACATAACCGACACGTTTATATCTGGCCTTTATGACATTGCTCCGATACGCCTCGTCGGAGAATCATGAATGAAATGTAGTGCAGCTGTGTTGCTCAGATGAATGGAAGTCAAGATCAATGAAAACTGACGCTCGCTTTCACGATTATTCGCTTCTACGATTCCTCATTTCCCATTCAGTGAAATATTCTATGAATATGCATCTTCATGCATCATTACGTATAATTGATTAAATTTTCTATTATTCTTTCTCTATTATTTGGTTAGTAATTTTATTCATTAATTATAAGTATTTTGACTAATAAATTATCGTTAAGTATGAATATTTTGTATAGGTGTAAATAGTTAAGCGTTAGTATTAAATTTTATTGTTTATTTGATATTATATATAAATTTCCAATTAAATAAATTTATTATTAATAATATACATCTTAAGAAGCGTTATTTTTCCTACAACAATTTAATGTAAAAATCAAATAAGAATGTTATTATTCAAGAAGAAAGTGTATAAAAATATTTTTTTAAAAAAGACAGTAAGTGCAGATTTGATTTTTTTATATTGAAATAAGAAAATGAAAAACAGCAGTAGGTAGAACGTGGAAACGGGGTCGTTGTTTCTATCACTAACTCTTCGTAACATTGATTTTTACGATTTTCTATTTGTAGTTGAATCGACATGCTTTGTCGATTTCGCAATCCTTTGGAATTTCGTCACGCGAATCCGTACGCGTATGTACCGGCATAGATCTAAGCACGTGTCGTTGCTATATTTGCCTTTGTAATTCAAATCGTTCGAATATTACTAGAACTAGAAAGTAAAAACTTTTATATTATTTTACTTTTACTCTATTTTCAAGAACTCTTCGAAGTATTTTATTCCTGTTTGGAATATATATATATATATATATAAATCTAGAGAGAAACAGAGAGAGAGAGAGAGAGAGAGAGAGAGAGAAAGGAAGAAAATATCCTGCACTTTCATAGAAGAAAGAATGAGAAAGAATATCCTACACTTTCTTGAAAAAAATAAAAAAAAACAAAACAAGAAATACGTTTACGTTTCGATTGGTGATCACTGATCGTTACGCGCACTACAGAAACTGTTCAATTTTTCTTCCCACATATGAAATGAAATTACACTTGATTTCAAATCGTAGTAGTAGTAGTAGTAGTATGACTTCATCCAAGTTGAAGTTTACGTAGAGTTAGGGACGTACCAGGGTGAAGAAAGCCAATGTCGCAGGGTTAAGGCACATCTTAGGAAGCATTTTTCCGAATATCCTGCTGAGAGTCTCCTGTCGAGGGTTCTGTTGAGAATCCTGGAGTGTTGTTGATTCCTGTTATTGGCAAGGCATCCTTCGTCCTGGTAGTTGCGCCGTTATTAAAGGCGACCTCTCAGCCTCGGCGAAAGATGATCTTATGTTAGTGAATTAGTACGCAGTATGTGTGTATCAGCCGAACTGAAAGACTGAAGTCGTCGCCAGTCGAAGAAGCCTTTTATACAGGGTGGGGGTCTTCTACCAGGCCAACCGTCCAACTTGATACCCATCCTCCTTGTATATCCTCTCTTTTTTCCATTCTTTTGCTTCCACCTCCGTTTTACTTCACTCTTTAGTACTTTTTTCGTCTTCTTTCGTTTTTTTCACCTTCACGCGTAGTACACTCTAGTTGTCCTCCAAAAAAATTATTTTAACAATATATAGGAGCAAAGTTAATGCTCAATGCGTACAATCTTTGTACAATACATAAATGTATTATACTTTTTTAATATTTATCCTTTTTTATTGCTTAATAACTTAACTTAATTCGAGAATACTGTTGTAGTCGCTAAACTTATTTTTATTTGAACGTATTTGAACTTATTTTTATTTGGTGTATTCGATAAATCATCAAATAATATTTCATCTTGATCTTTTCTTTATTTCCATTTTGTTATTTTTTTAGAATTACGATCTATTTTGTAAAATAATTAAAAAATTATAATCTCATAAATTAATACGAGGACTTTTAAATAACAATATGTTGTACAACTATCATACACTTTATAAAGTATGATAGCTATTGGTGTAATAGCAATACCAATCTATTATTATATTTTCTACTATTTTGGAATTTTGATATACATTTATTTCGTTAATCATTTTTTTATAAAAATATGCAAGGCTTGGTTGTCTTGGTAACGTAGCAGGAACATTCATTTAATTTTAATTTTTTGAGTTGTCGACACGTGTGTATAAATTTATATAATAATATAAATAAATATTAAAACCAGATATATCGTAACCCAACCATAACGTTCGGTTATATACGAGATATTTCGTGATCCGTACGCAATGTGTTAACATTTTACAGTTCTCTAATTCTGTACTGTATTCTTTTTTTTCTTTGCTATTTATTATCAAATCGCATCGTCGTATCCCTCTAAATTAGTTGAATTTTATTGTCTCATATCTCATATAATTTTTGTTTCTTTTTAGGCATCTTAGCAAAGTTAGTATATCAATTAGCAAGTAAGTACGGACCTGACGATCTATCAAGTTAATAAGTGTTTTAATGTTATATAGAATTGCATAAAAAGTATAAAAAGTTATCCTTGAAATATTATCCTATTGGCTAAATCTTTGCTAATTCTCGTTATGTTTCCCAGTGAGATAAGACGGTATATATTTAGATGCGTTTCATTGTTATCTCGTGAGAAATTACGAAGGAATTACTTTATGATTCTTATTAAAAATCGAATTTTTGAATTCGTTCTTTTTTGTCGACACAAAGCTATTACACGATTGATCGAGTTATTGGCTTTTTATTTTGTTCTCACCCTTCAAATGAGAGTGCATCCTTTACGGAACTAATATTCTTAGAGAGCTATTACCTTTAACTGGGGAAAAAAAATTTTTTTTTATTTAAAGAAGCCTTTTAGAACGTTGCTACTTTGTAATATCTCAATTAAACGTGAAATGCTTTTTAATGATCGATAAAATTCGATTAATTATAATACCATCTATGGTAGTCGAGCCTTCGATGTTCAGATTCTCACATTTATTTCTATCAAAGATAGATTCATTCTTGGAATTCGATTTATTCCCATGAAATATTTGTATTATTAATAGAACAAATGTTGGTAGCACGTTAAATGGAAATGAACAGACTGTTTTGCAATGATCATACGATGTTAAATTTCTTAGGCAGTATACCAAACGGATGGAATTACCATCCGTCAAGGCCATCAGTATTTTTGCGACTACGTAATTAGTGGGTTTGCTAATGTCACCTAGTTAGTTTTTTCTCCCCTTGGTAAGTTGGAAATTGGAGATAAGAGGAAATAGCTAACGTTGTCTTTTGGATTAGAAAAAGAAAAAAAAAAGAAAACAGGAAAGGAAGAAGAAGAGGAATAAAAATGTGAAAAGTATAAAAGCTTATTTCATGTTACATGACCGAAGTTTAAAGCGTAAACCTTGACTTTAGAATTGGTCCTAGAAGATAATCGGATATCTCTAGTGCAACTGAAACTTGAGAAAAAGATCACGTTAAAAAGTTAGTCGGAAAAAGTTGTGCTAGTTTTTCTGTTATTCCCCTCGTGCACCTCGATGTATTTCGCATTCTGTTGGTGTACGTATTGTAGAAATCCTTTATTATTACTGACGTCACTTAACTTATATATATATATATATATATTTTATGTTTTAAGAAAATCTCTGTAAGTTAAGTGTTCAAGTGATTCATGTGTCGAGCTTATTCGAAATATCTGCAATGAAATATTTTCGAGGAAACATTCATTTAACTTGAGCTATTGTAACATCTACTTTATTCGCCACGGAAGGCTTCTAATTGAACGAGATTTAATGATCATGCCGTAAAAGGTTTACAACGAAAGGTCGTAGATATATATTTTTCTTTAAGTTTTCCCAGAGACTTACCTAATAGGAATTAAAGATGATACAAGAGAACATTGACTTATATAAGAAACCTTGTATTCTGTAATATATACATTTTGATTAATAGCATTTACCCTATTTGGTCTTCGTTCTTCTATCATTTTGATAAAGAACAAAGAAAATAATGTTTATTATTTACGTTTGTAATAATGCTTATTGAGAAGAATTATTTTTTGATAAAATGAAGGAAAAAAATCCTGAATATATTTTTCAAAGGATTCAATTTTTATTTTAAAATCATCCTCCTATTCAAATGATAAAAATTTTATTCGATGAAAAAACAAATTATAATCGTTCATGGAATGATCATGGAATGATGGATGAACGTTCATGCTGTTATTTCGTGTGATCCTTTGTTATAATTTTTTCATGAAAATTTAATTTTGATGGCGAGAACAATAAAAACGAATATGAGTGAAAAATTGATCACGATGTTAATATCTAAATTAATGTTTGTTTTGCTCAAACGTGTTCTTCGATATCTTGATATTTCGCGTTCAATGAAATTTATGATGATATGCGATAACGTTTAACTATGAAAAGGGTAAATGGAAGAGAAGAGAAATAGACGAGTATTATTTTTCATAGTTATTTTATCTTTCATTAGATGGGAGTTAATTCTCGGAGAGGACTCTGATTTCTGTTGTTTGATTTTTATCCTTGAAAAGAAGAATAAGAAAAAAGCTTTTAAACAATCTCATATTTAGAAAAATTTGAATATGTCTCATTTTTTCCGTGACCTATTTTTTCTATTTTATTATTATAAATTATTCTCTCTTCTAAAGATTAAATTTCATTTTAATATGTTATGTACTACATGTGCCTGATAATGAATTTAAGCTACTTGAAAAACTCGATTGCTATTGGTGATAAAAACAAATGTGTCATATAAAAGTTACTTGATTTTAAAGATTTCATAATCTCATGTTAATAATTGTTTTAAGAAATATACGTGTAGAGAACATATGGAGGTGAACTCCATTTTGAAAAAATTATACGATATATTTTTCTATGTATCATTTAATAAGACACGTTTAAAATCCTGTACAACAATCACTTAAAAACTAATTAAATAGGAAAAAAATTATTGGCATGAGATTATATCACATTTGAAATCAAATAAGTTTCACCTGAGATATTTTTTTTTTTCATTAGTAGAAATCGAGTAATTTGGGTGATCAATTTTAAATACTTCATCCTTCTATTTATACATTATTTAGATTTTTAGATAATCTTTGATCCGCATTCCGTGTATATCTATTCGTTAAATGTTAATGTCAGCTTAAGCTGATCCAAAATTGTCGAAAGAAAGTGTATTAAAATTGGCGAAAGACTTTCGACGATCGGATTTAAACTTTCCTTTTCGTGAAATCTATCTTACGTTACGACATATTTAAATGGAATCATCACTCGAATGATTCTAAATAGATCCGACAAATTATATGCGTATACGCATAACTGTATCATACCTATTGATCCATAAATCACGTAAGTGGGTGATATCCGTAAGTCAATTAGCCTGTAAGATACTTATTTTACGGTTTTACTCAAAACGTTTCTAATTTTTTTTATAGAGTACTGTTTACACATGTATGTGTGTACATACTGTGTATATAATTCTAATAATATGGAAAAATTTAATATTGGTACTTTTCTATCGTAAACTATTTCCACTGTGATTAACATACGATTTATATCGATAGAAGTGTCTATACGAGTGTCAAAAACAAAATAAAAAAATACAGTTTCAGTTAAAATATTGTTCTTGCGAGAAGGTTAAGATTGTCCCATCAAATAGGTGGATGTGTACATCTTCCGATTTATTTTTAAAAAATTAATATAATTCGCCGAAATTAGAAATATTTTATAATTTTAATCGTTCGTCGAAATTAACATACTTGAAATAAATCAATAAATTTATTGTACAAATTGTTTTTATTTGAATATTTTATAATTATCCTGGAAAAAAAGTAAACTTTAATCGAAAGGAATAAGAAGAAGATATGACGACACATCATTGACGTTGTATCGTTTTTCAAGTGAATGGTAAATGTAAAAAAACGTAAACGAATGAAATAAGATATTCACGTAGTCTCGTATTTGAAATTGATACTTGGTTAAAAAAAAAGATGAAAGAACATCCTCTTATCAAAGATCCCAGCGTTGAGAATCGAGCACGATCCTTACACGACCGTCAACACTTTCGGAATTAAAGTTTATGATCGTGTTCTTATCTATTGTAGATCCTTGCATTTATGCATGTAACTATACAGAATCTACACGAAATCTATATAGTAACAACATCGACGTTAAATTTATGATTAAGTTTCTATAACTTGATGATACTCTTAACAAAGAGAATCATTTTTAATACACCTGTTATATATATCTTAAAAAAATTTCTTAATGTTCCAATTAAAATTATATAATATTATTAATTATAACAAATACTGATTCGTATAGAATTAAATTTGTAGTATAGCATAGCGTAGTATAGCGAATTTTTCTCAATGAGA